TGTGCGATACCCCATCTAGGCCCTTCCGCAGTCACTTTTATCCAATTCATATGCAGAACTTTTTCTCTGATAATTCCTCTGCCCTCAGCACACATGCACACATGCGCGCGCGCACACACACACACACACACACACACACACACACACACTATCAACAGAGTTATCAGGCTCTCTGCCTCTGTATACCCAAAGTGCCTAGTTGCCAATTTCCAACCCATGCCACTAAATGCATATAGTGGGACTCCTCTAGTCACCCCTCCAAAATCCACATTCTTGGCCTCTTCTTTTCCTATCCTGGTGTATCACTGACATCTTCAAGTCTTCCCCCACCCCAGCACCTACTTGGCCTCTTCCAGTTCCTCTGTGCGCTGAATGGCGTCCGTCTCGTATTTGGTTCTCCACTGGGCCACTTCACTGTTGGCCTTGGACAGGGTGCGTTGCAGCTCACCCTTGGCTTCCTGCTCCTCCTCATATTGCTCCCGGAGCAAGTCGCAGTCATGGCGAGCAGACTGCAAGGCGTGGGCCAACGCGTTCTTAGCCTGGAGAAACAACAGGAGCATCACAGTGGTGTATCTAAATGTCCTGGGAATCCTCCTGACAGTGAGCTCCATTGGACTGTGGAGTGTTATCCCAGGGAGGTGGTGCTAGGTGTGATGGATGGCCAATAGAAAGCTAGGGCTGAGTAAAACACTTAAAAATATACTGTAGGGAGCAATGCTGCATTGGATGGTGCAGCGTTAGGTGACCCAACAGGACCTTTCCCCTCTGTTCTCTATGCTGCAAGGGCTTATTTGAGGTTAATATCTTGCCCATAACAGGAATTCATATTCAGAGAAAACACTGTTGAAAACATCCTCACCTTTACTTCCTCCTCTAGTTGCCTCTTCAGTTCCTCAACCTGTTGGGTAAATGCCTGTTTGCCTCTGGAGAGCTGAGAAATCAAAGTATCTTTCTCTTCTACCTGGCGTGAAAATTCACCTGAGGAAGATTCCATACAGGTTATACCAATTAACAACTGACTGAACTTAATGCTGGAAAAACTTAAAAAACAACAAAAACAATCTTTAAGGTGCTTCTAGACAATTCATTGTTTTTTAAGTTTTTCCAGTTACAGACTAACTCGTCTCCCCCTCTGAAACTTTTGAACATAATACTGTCATATTTTACTTTAAAACATATTGATTGGGAAGAGGCTTTTAAGGATGATAATCTGATGTAATCAAAGTGCTATTAGCAGGCGTAAAGCAGCATTGTGGATCAGATGTACATAAAATGGCAATTTTCTGCTTTTCCCACATTCTTTGTGCACTCACAGTTGTACATCAAAAGACGCTATTGTCTTACCTGATTCTGTCTGCAAACGAGCTCTTTGAGCACTGAGGTCATTGATCATACGCTGATGCTCTTCTTCCTTTGTCTTAACCTCACTCAGCTGATCTTCCAAAGTGCGGCACATCTTCTCAAGGTTTGCCTGTAAGGTGTGAAATGGATAAAAAAGGGGGATAAACGTAATAGTTTTCCAGCATTCTCAGATCAGCAGGAGCTCTGTCGTGATAAACACACATGGGCTCAATTAGTGAGGAAATCTTACCCTTCATAAAACCAAATATTATGCAAATAGGTGACATTACAACAGCAATTACTACAGTTAATTTTCCTCTTTATTATCATCTGAGACTAACACTGGAAGGTGCAAATTTGAAGGTGCAGCCTGTTTACAGAAATAAACATAGAGGTAGACAGACACACACACACAAACACAGACAGACATACTATTTCTATGTCTGTACCTTGGCTTTGGAGACAGTCTCCAGGTTACTAGCAAGATCATCAATCTCCATCTTCAGTTCACTCTTCTCCTTCTCCAGCTTCTGCTTGACGCGCTGCAAGTTGTCGATTTGCTCCCCCAGCTCTGCTGTGCTGTCCGCGTGCTTCTTCCGGAAGGTGGCAGCCGTGGCTTCATGCTGCAGAGTGGCCTCTTCAAGGTCTCGGCGCATTTTCTGGAATTCTGCCTCCCGCTTCTTGTTCATCTCAATCTGAGCCGCTGTGGCCCCACCAGCTTCTTCCAGGCGCTCACTGATCTCCTCAAGTTCCCTGGCGAGATCCGACCGCTGCTTCTCTGCTTTCGCCCGGGAGGCACGTTCAGCCTCTATCTCCTCCTCCAGCTCCTCAATACGGGCCTAGGGAAGAGCAGGAAACAATAAGGCTGTGGCTTCACCATAGGGACTATACCAATAGGGCTGTTAACAGAATTATGGAGGCACAGCATTGTTGAAGAGATGCTGCCTACATTGATACAAGGGATTTCAGGTGGCAAAAGAACAATGCTTCCTTGAGAGAGGATAGATATGTCCAAGTCCACCGAGAGAATTTTGGGTCACAGGTATATTGTATTAATTGGGTTCACCTCTTTCCAATTTACTTTATTTACACACAGCTTAAAGATGTACTGGGGCCCTGGTACAATTGTCCCTCCTTTCTCCCTGCTCTCATCAGCACCTACATTGATGGGAGCTTTTTTCCACCAACACAGCTTCTCTGCACTGAGGGCTAGGTCAGCAGTGCTGTGTCAGTCCCAGACGTGGTTCTCTCAAACCCTTGACCAACATAGCTATAGCACCCTAAGACCACAGTTAAGAAAGATCGCTTCCTTCTAATGGAACTTGTTCTGAAGGCCAGAAGAGAAAGAAATTATGACTTGCCTGCAATTCTTTGATCTTCTTCTGGAGCTGGATGCCTAGGACTTGCTCATCCTCAATTTTGCTTTGGAACTGACTTATTTCAAAGTCTTTCCTTTTCACACACACAAACAAAAACAGTTAGTGCCAGAACCAAATCCAAACATAATTGCATGGTGCCATGATGCTCCCGTCCCCTGCAATCCATACTTACTTCTTCAGTTTTTCCTCCAGCTGTTGTTTATCATTTTCTAAATCCATTGTGGATTCCTGGGCCAGCTTCAAATCTCCCTCAAGTTTCCTCTTGGCTCTTTCAAGGTCCATGCGGAGTTTCTTCTCTTGCTCCAGTGACCCTTCAAGCTAAATAGAAAAAGGCCATGAAATCTCTGCTAACGAGAGCCTAACTTCACACTGGTTGTATCCTCCCCACTTGTTGTTGTGCCTACATCGTCCACTTGCTGCTCCAGCTTGGTTTTCGCTTTGGTCAGTGTGTTCACTTTGTCCTCTTCTGCCTGCAGGTCGTCCAGGGTCTGCTGATGGGCCTCCTGGAGGGCTTTCTTCTCCTTGGTCAGTTTAGCGATGGTCTCATCCAGCACTGCCATCTCCTCAGTGAGGTTTTTCACCTTTTGAATTGAACAAAGGTAATTAAAAACAACAGATAAAAATGTTGTGAAATGACAGTCCCATTTAAAGTTTAGATTTATTGCACTTCATGTTTTTAACCAAGATTTTATAAAATCAAGCAACAGATGTTGGAGACATAGAAATGTCATAGAATAAGCAGAAAGAATGGTCATATCTAAATTACTGATACTTTTCTCTGGATGAACTCAGGAAAAGCATGGAGGAGATTTTCATGAAACTAGTCAGAACAGAACTCCCACAGCTGTTGGTCTAAGGCCTGGGTTTGTCCCATTGCCGTCTGAGGGAAGAGCTTTCCCGCCATATTCAGAAACCAAACAACAATGCCCAAGCTTTAATGCCCATACTTCAAAAGACGTCACTTCTCAATCTTTAGGCACTGAAATATATGTTCAGACTTTTAAAGGTACTCAGCATACAGCAATAACCTTTGTTCCTGTCGGACAGTTTAGTGTTATGAGGACATTAGAAATTTCTATTCCAATTGGTGTTCTGGGCAGTTTTCAAAACTGCTTACCATTGAAATATACATTGGAAAGGAACCCACTTAACTTCTGGCATATCATACTGCATGAGTGCTTTAACGTACTTACCATTACTTACTTGGACAGTAAATGACAAAGGTAAATAGATTATACTGCACTGATCTTTTTATTAAATGAATGCAAAATATAAACTAGTTTTGTAAAGGAAGAAAGTGTGTGTTTATGTGTCTGTATATTCATACCTCACTCAAAAACATTAAAAGAAAAGTTTCAAAGTCAAGCACTCCAGGGTTAGGAAATTCCTGTGTAACATAGCCATTGTGATAGAGTTTAATTACATGATTAGATACTATTTTTTTTATCACAGGACCCCAGAGGACCCCTGCCTCATTGAGTACAGACAGTGGATGGTGCATTGTCTCCTTGCTCAGATAGTTCATAGACTCATAGACTTTAAGGTCAGAAGGGACCATTATGATCATCTAGTCTGACCCCCAGCACAGTGCAGGCCACAGAATCTCACCCACTCCCTCGTAGAATAATCCTCTCACCTATGTCTCAGATATTGAAGCCTTCAAATAGTTTGAAGACCACAAGATGCAGAGAATCCTCCAGCTGTGATCTGTACCCCATGCTACAGAGGAAGGTGAAAAAGCTCCAGGGCCTCTGCCAATCTACCCTGGAGGAAAATTCCTTCCCGACCCCAAATATGGCGATCAGCTAAACCCTGAGCATGTGGGCAAGACTCACCAGCCAGACACCCAGAAAGTTCCCTATAGCAACTCCTATCATCCCTCCATTGACCTATTTCCCACTGATAATGAATGGTCAATTAGTTATCAAGATCATATTAGCTCATCAAACCATCCCCTTCATAAAACCATCTAGTTTAATCTTGAAGCCAGATAGCTCTTTTGCCCCCACTACTTCCCTTGGAAGGCCGTTCCAGAACCTCACTCCTCTAATGGTTAGAAACCTTTGTCTAATCTCAAGTCTAAACTTCCTACTAGCCATCTTATATCCATTTGTTCGTGTCCACATTGATATTAAGCTTAAATAATTCCTCTCCCTCCCTGGTATTTATCCCTCTAATATATTTAAAGAGTGCAATCATGTCCCCCCCTTAGCCTTCTCTTGGTTAAGGTAAACAAGCCAAGCTCCTTGAGTCTCCTTTCATAAGACAGGTTTTCCATTCCTCGGATCATCCTAGTGGCCCTTCTTTGTACCTGTTCCAGTTTGAATTCATCCTTCTTAAACATTGGAAACCAGAACTGCACACAGTATTCCAAATGGGGTCTCACCAATGCCTTGTATAATGGCACTAACACCTCCTTATCCCTACTGGAAATACCTCGCCTAATACATCCCAAGACCGTATTAGCCTTTTTCAGTTCCAGTTCTTCCCTTATCAGCTCTTTGTCTGATCTGTCTTTCCCTTACCCACTTGTTCCTCATAACCACATACCCCATCCTATCGGCTGCCAGTGCCAGTCTCCCTCAAGACATGCATGCACACTTCTCTCTCATATCCTTCACCTTGTTTTCTGTGGCATGCTTTTCTTTCTCAACTTTGGCCAATGTTAACTCAAGATCGTCAATATCTTTCTTCAGCTCTGAACATTCATCCTCCAGTTTCCTCTTTTTGGCTGTCAGTTCAGCGTTCATCTCCTCCTCATCCTCCAGCCGTTCAGTCAGCTCCTTAATCTTAGCTTCAAGCTGGATCTTGGTTTTGATCAGTTGGTCACATCTTTCCTCTGCATCAGCCAAGCCTTCAGCTTCCTGTGGGAGAAATGCAGGTTTTCAGTGTGCTTGTTTGATGAGTTTTAGCTCTATCTTATATTACATTCTTATAGTTCATCTCAGCACAAAATATAATTGATTTGAACTGTCTGCTTCTTTTGAGAGGCCAGGACCATCAATGGCTATAAGCCAATATAGTCAGGGACACAGACCCATTTTCTGGGTGTCCTAGGCCTCTGGCTGCCAGATGCTGGGACTGGACAACAAAGGAACAGTCACGTCCAGCTCTGTTCACTCTTAGAGCATCTGGAACTGGCCACTGTCAGAAGACAAGGTACTGGGTGGATTAGATGGACCATAGAGCTGAGCTAGTGTGGTCGTTCTTATGTTCTTACATTCACAAAAAAACAGCAGCAAGATTAATTTATACTTGGTTTATTCATAGACAAAAAATAATGTAATAACTTCATATGAATGTGAATAATCTGTACCTAAGCTATTAAGCCCTAGATCCTGTAAGCAATTTTGGGCACATTCAACCTGCAATGTGTGTGTATTCCTCCTGCCTTCCCACTGCTTGTATGGTGGTTTATATTAAGCATGTAAGCAGGGTCAATCTAGATATGCGTATAAACACCTACTGTTGGTTGGCCTGTGATTTGCATTTGAATGGCCCGATTTTCAAAAATGCAAAGCAACGAACAACACCGATTTTTCTGAGTGTGTGGAGAGTAGGTTGAGAAGAAGAAGAAGAATGGTAGCTGTTTTGAATGCTGAGATCTTTCAAACATCTTGCTCTTTGTGTCAGGGTTCTTAGATAGATAGATAGATAGATAGATAGATAGATAGATAGATAGATAGATAGATAGATAGATAGATAGATAGATAGATAGATAGATAGATAGATAGATAGATAGATAGATAGATAGATAGATAGATAGATAGATAGATAGATAGATAGATAGATAGATAGATAGATAGATAGATAGATAGATAGATAGATAGATAGATAGATAGATAGATAGATAGATAGATAGATAGATAGATAGATAGATAGATAGATAGATAGATAGATAGATAGATAGATAGATAGATAGATAGATAGATAGATAGATAGATAGATAGATAGATAGATAGATAGATAGATAGATAGATAGATAGATAGATAGATAGATAGATAGATAGATAGATAGATAGATAGATAGATAGATAGATAGATAGATAGATAGATAGATAGATAGATAGATAGATAGATAGATAGATAGATAGATAGATAGATAGATAGATAGATAGATAGATAGATAGATAGATAGATAGATAGATAGATAGATAGATAGATAGATAGATAGATAGATAGATAGATAGATAGATAGATAGATAGATAGATAGATAGATAGATAGATAGGCACAAAAGTTACACCATCCAAAACAAAAAGTGTTCTTGATGCAGACTAAGTAAATATAATGAGTTGGAAGTTAAGCTCCATCCCCAGATATAACACATCACATATTATTATGTATGTGTATACTCCAGCTATCTGGGCACATACATTTTTGTGTGTGTTCAAATGAAAATGCCTAAATTTAAAAATGTAACATTTAGTCCTGATATCTTAGGTTTGTTTTGCAATGTTTCTCTAGCACAAGGTAACCAACACTTTGTTTGAGCGTCTCGTATTGGGAAAGCGGCCTTTAGAAATTTCAGGCTTTGTTCCAAAGCACAATAAGGGTTGAATTCACTGGTAATACTCACAGTCTGCACTTGGAGCTGCAGGTCGTTTTTCTCCTGTAGCAGGCTCACCATCTTTTCCTCCAGTTCCTTCCTTTTGGCCTCAGACTTAGCAAGCTCTTCCTTGGTTTTCTCAAACTCCTCCTTCATGTTGGCCATCTCCTTCTCAGCTTCAGCACTCTTCAGCAAGGGCTTGATCTTGAAGTAGAGCTTCATCCAGGGCCAATGCTTGACATTCATGAATGAGCGAACGTTGTACTGGATACAGAAGACGGACTCTCTATAATGTAGTTAAAATACATATTAAGTCTTATGGAATTGGAAGGAACCATAGAATCATAGAATAATAGGACTGGAAGGGACCTCGAGAGGTCATCGAGTCCAGCCCCCTGCCCTCAAGGCAGGATCAAGCTCCGTCTACACCATCCCTGACAGATGTCTATCTAACCTGTTCTTAAATATCTCCAGAGAGGGAGATTCCACCACCTCCCTTGGCAATTTATTCCAATATTTGACCACCCTGACAGTTAGGAATTTTTTCCTAATGTCCAATCTAAACCTCCCCTGCTGCACTTTAAGCCCATTACTCCTTGTCCTGTCCTCAGAAACCAAGAGGAACAAATTTTCGCCTTCCTCCTTGTGACACCCTTTTAGATATTTGAAAACCGCTATCATGTCCCCCCTTAATCTTCTTTTTTCCAAACTAAACAAGCCCAGTTCATGAAGCCTGGCTTCATAGGTCATGTTCTCTAGACCTTTAATCATTCTTGTCGCTCTTCTCTGTACCCTTTCCAATTTCTCCACATCTTTCTTGAAATGTGGCGCCCAGAACTGGACACAGTACTCCAGCTGAGGCCTAACTAGTGCAGAATAGAGCGGTAGAATGACTTCACGAGTTTTGCTTACAACACACCTGTTGATACAACCTAGAATCATATTTGCTTTTTTTGCAACAGCATCACACTGTTGACTCATATTCAACTTGTGATCCACTATGACCCCTAGATCCCTTTCCGCCATGCTCCTTCCTAGACAGTCGCTTCCCATCTTGTATGTATGGAACTGATTGTTCCTTCCTAAGTGGAGCACTTTGCATTTCTCTTTATTAAACCTCATCCTGTTTACCTCTGACCATTTCTCTAACTTGCTAAGGTCATTTTGAATTATGTCCCTATCCTCCAAAGACGTCGCAACCCCACCCAGTTTGGTATCATCTGCAAACTTAATAAGAGTACTCTCTATCCCAATATCTACATCATTGATGAAGATATTGAATAGGGCGGGTCCCAAAACAGACCCTTGAGGAACTCCACTTGTTATCCCTTTCCAGCAGGATTTAGAACCATTAACAACAACTCTCTGACTACGGTTATCCAGCCAATTATGCACCCACCTTATCGTGGCCCTATCTAAGTTATATTTGCCTAGTTTATCAATAAGAATATCATGCGAGACCGTATCAAATGCCTTACTAAAGTCTAGGTATATGACATCCACCGCTTCTCCCTTATCCACAAGGCTCGTTATCCTATCAAAGAAAGCTATCAGATTAGTTTGGCATGACTTGTTCTTCACAAACCCATGCTGGCTATTCCCTATCACTTTATTACTTTCCAAGTGTTTGCATACGATTTCCTTAATTACCTGCTCCATTATCTTCCCTGGGACAGACGTTAAACTGACCGGTCTATAATTTCCTGGGTTGTTCTTATTCCCCTTTTTATAGATGGGCACAATATTTGCCCTTTTCCAGTCTTCTGGAATCTCCCCTGTCTGCCATGATTTTTCAAAGATCATAGCTAAAGGACCATGAGAGTTCAGTCCTCTGCATTTATGGCAGGACCAACCATCATTCTAGACCATCCCTGACAGGTGTTTCTCTAGCCTGCTTTTAAATATCTCCAATGATGGAGAGTCCACAGTCTCCCTAGCCAACTTATTCCAGTGCTTATTCCTGTGCTTTATTCCTGATAGGTAGGGAGTTTATCCTAATGTCCAGCCTAAACCTCCCTTGCTGCAATTTAAGCCCATTTCTTCTTGTCCTATCCTCAGAGGTCAAGGTGAATAATTGTTCCTCCTTCCTCCTTGTAACGGAAGGAGGTGCTTGAAAGCTGTTATCATGTCCCCTCTTAATCTTGTTGAGTTTAAACAAACCCAGTTATTACAATCTTCCCTCACAGGTCACGTTTTGTTGGCCTTTAAGCATTTTTGTTGCTCTTTTCTGGACCTTCAGTTTCTCCACACCTTTCCTGAAATGTGGAGCCCAAAAATGGACACAATACTCCAGCTGAAGCCTAATCAGCGTGGAGTGGAGTGGAAGAATTACTTCTCATATTTTGCTTCTGACAGTACTGCTTATACACCTAGATTGATGTTTGTTTGGGTTTTTTTTTTGCAACATTGTCACACTGTTGATTGACTACTGTTGAACTTGTGGTCCCCTATAACTTCTAGAATCCTTTCTGCAGAATTCCTTTCTTGACAGTCACTTCCCATTTTATATGTGTATATGATGACTATAGATACTATAGACAGTAAATCCCATGCAAGATAACGTATTGCTACCTCCTTTCCACCATTCTTTGATATTCCATTCTCATCAGGAAGCCACGACACCTGGCTTGTGTGCGGGTCATAATCTCTGCCAATTTATCATCTCTCATCTCCTCTAGAAGACCCAGGAGTCCTGCTTTAAAGAAAACCTTGAAAAAGGGAATATTACAAACATCACTTGCATTCTGGACAAAATGCAGATTGGCAATGTTTGAATCAAAGAGTGTGTGTACCTTGGTGTGACCAAATTTATACTGGGTATGATCAATATTGATAGACCCAAGTAGTTTCTCTGAAGCCTTCTTGCTGTCCATGAACTGTCCTTCTGGAACGGCGCTTGCATTTAAAATCCTGTATCTGTTAGAGAAAACAGAATATAAGAATGTTCCTATCACCAAACCCACCATCACCTTTCACACTAATTGGCTGGAAGTCTCAAGGAGGGCTGGACCAGTTCTCATGCCTAGAGGCTGTCCATCTGTCAGGCTGAGGTACCATTTTAGGACAGTGTGAAAAAGCTTGTACTGCAACTATATCCTACCATGTTCTCCAGAGAGAGGAACATGGATCCCAAAGATACCAATCCCCTTGTCGACCCAATGTAAATTACTTTAACCAATATTTACAACAGAGTAAAGAGAACATGTAGTAAATACTGTTATGAACATAGTATTTAACATTATTCAGAAATACAGGCTACTCAGCATGAACATAACAGGGCAAAACAGTGAAGCTCTCTAACCTCTGTTTAAAATCTGCATAAATGATTCTGCTGGGGAATCCTTTCCTGCAAATTCTGATCCCTTCCAGCACGCCGTTACACCTGAGCTGGTGAAGTACGAGTTCATGTTCCATGGCACCTTAACAAATCACAGCATGAATTAGTACCTGACTACGTTGACGGAGCCATGTAGTCTAGACATACCGGCTGTGTCTACACTGGACCCCTTTTCCGGAAAAGGGAGGCAGATGAGACAAGTCGGAATTGCAAATGAAGCGGGAAATTTAAATATAGAATCATAGAATCATAGAATAATAGGACTGGAAGGGACCTCGAGAGGTCATCGAGTCCAGCCCCCCGCCCTCAAGGCAGGATCAAGCTCCGTCTACACCATCCCTGACAGATGTCTATCTAACCTGTTCTTAAATATCTCCAGAGAGGGAGATTCCACCACCTCCCTTGGCAATTTATTCCAATATTTGACCACCCTGACAGTTAGGAATGTTTTCCTAATGTCCAATCTAAACCTCCCCTGCTGCACTTTAAGCCCATTACTCCATGTCCTGTCCTCAGAAACCAAGAGGAACAAATTTTCTCCTTCCTCCTTGTGACACCCTTTTAGATATTTGAAAACCGCTATCATGTCCCCCCTTAATCTTCTTTTTTCCAAACTAAACAAGCCCAGTTCATGAAGCCTGGCTTCATAGGCTTCTCTAGACCTTTAATCATTCTTGTCGCTCTTCTCTGTACCCTTTCCAATTTCTCCACATCTTTCTTGAAATGTGGCGCCCAGAACTGGACACAGTACTCCAGCTGAGGCCTAACTAGTGCAGAATAGAGCGGCAGAATGACTTCACGAGTTTTGCTTACAACACACCTGTTAATACAACCTAGAATCATATTTGCTTTTTTGGCAACAGCATCACACTGTTGACTCATATTCAACTTGTGGTCCACTATGACCCCTAGATCCCTTTCCGCCATGCTCCTTCCTAGACAGTCGCTTCCCATCTTGTATGTATGGAACTGATTGTTCCTTCCTAAGTGGAGCACTTTGCATTTCTCTCTATTAAACCTCATCCTGTTTACTTTCCGAAAGATCCCTTATTCCTCTTAAAAAAAGGAATAAGGGATCTTTTGGAAAAGGCTTTATTTTCCGAAAGATCCCCATCTAGACAGGCGCTTTTCTCCGGCAAAGCCCAGAGCCGGAAAAAAGCGGCAGCCATGTTTATACAAATGAAGCGGGGGATATTTAAATCTCCCGCTTCATTTGCAATTCCGACTTGTCTCATCTGCATCCCTTTTCCGGAAAAGGGGTCCAGTGTAGACACAGCCACCCTGATTGTGCAGCCCAAAGAAAACGGCTGCATCTCACTAAGATCTGTGTGGATGTGTCTAAACTACATGGCTCCATCGATGGAGCCATGTAGATTAGGCTGATCGGCAAAGGAAAATGAAGCCGCAATTTAAATAATTGCGGCTTCGTTTAAATTTAAATGGCTGCCGTGCTGAGCCGACAAACAGCTGATCAGCTGTTTGTCGGCTCAGCACGGCAGCCATTTAAATTTAAACGAAGCCGCAATTATTTAAATTGCGGCTTCATTTTCCTTTGCCGATCAGCCTAATCTACATGGCTCCATCGATGGAGCCATGTAGATTAGGCTGATCGGCAAAGGAAAATGAAGCCGCAATTTAAATAATTGCGGCTTCGTTTAAATTTAAATGGCTGCCGTGCTGAGCCGACAAACAGCTGATCAGCTGTTTGTCGGCTCAGCACGGCAGCCATTTAAATTTAAACGAAGCCGCAATTATTTAAATTGCGGCTTCATTTTCCTTTGCCGATCAGCCTAATCTACATGACTCCGTCGACACAGCCATGTAGTTTAGACGTACCCTGTGTGACAGAGCTTCTTACCTGGTGTCTTTGTTTCATTGGGAATGATACAGCGCACAAAGTGCGGATGGGTACTTCTCAGATTGGTCATCAGCTTATTTAAATTCTCCTGCGACACCATAAGCAGAGGTTTAGGTTAATTAATGTTACATCTGCATATTATGTTACATCAGACAGAGCAAACCTGTTATAATGGGACCATGCACATAACAGATGTAAACAGAATAGCTTGCAGAACTTGCCAGCTGGAGTCATTTTACCCTGAGGTGCCTTCTTCCTTTGGATCTTGACCACAGTTATTTAAGTGAAATATAAAACTCTAGAAATAGCACTACCTAGCAGTGGGAAATAATGTTCCTATATCACAATTTTATCATGAATCTTGCTATATTTGGTGTTTTTCTTATGCCCCAATTCTTGGAATCATTTAATTTTGGAAGGAAGTCCATTTTTAATTTAAAAATAGAAGTAAGTTTCTGAACCTCAGAGCTGAAAAAAAGTTGGAAAATATGAGGCTATCTTCTGAAAAAAATGTCTTCCCAAAGAGAGTGTCCACACTCCCAAAGCGCATTGAAAAAGCGATCTGCTTTTTCAACAGATAGCGTCCACTCTGAATGGACGCTATCTGGCATGTAAGCTGTGATTACTATGGGCAGAATGGCCACCAGAGCGCCTGTGCTTTTTCCTTTTTCCTCTTCTTCCCCGTCCACACATGCCTTTTTCAGAAAGAGCTCTTTTGGAAAAAGGCTTCTTCCTTGTAGAAAGAGGTTTACCAATGTCAGAAAAACCCCTCCGTTCTTTTGATTTTTTTTTTTCAAAAGAATGTGATTGCAGTGTGGACGTAATTGAATTTTTTTCAAAAAAATGCTGTTTTTCCAAAAAAAAAAAACCCTCTGTAGTATAGACATACCCTGAGCTAAGTGCACTAAAGATCAGAGACCAGATGGCAAGGGACAAACCATTTCACATTAATTCTTGAAATTGTATTTCAGTCTCATTAGTCTTAGGGGCCCAACTCATGGCATTGGTGTACTATGAGTTGGCAATACAGAAAGTGTTCCCCAAGGCAGGACAGGAAACCAGTGACAGACCAGGCGCTGGAGCTATTCAGGAGCCCTGGAGACCCTTTGGTTTTTATGAGGAGTACGAGAATGGAAAGGGCCAGAGCAGTGAGAGAACTGAGTTTTCAGATTGTTTAAATGTAAGCAGTCTGGACTTGTAACTATGGGCTGCTCCATGTAACCAGGTATTGTTGTTCAAGACTTTGACCAGTGGATGGGCTAAGTGTCATAATATGGTGGCTTGTCACTGGTAATTACAAGGCAGCCAGTCCATACAGTGGCTCAGGGTTAGGAGAAGGACCTGGCAGGAGATATCTGCAGGGAGTGGCTTTAAGAAAGGCCAGACAACTGGGGCTGGGATTGGAAAGGAATTGTAAAGTCTGTGGGGAAGATGTGATATTAGTTGAATTGAAATGATTTGTTAATCGTTCACACCTCAAAAAGGAGATGCACCTGAATCACATAAGACTACATGCATTCTTGAGGGAGCAGAGTAAGGGAAATTGAGGCAGCAAATACCTAACCAGATAGAAGAAACGAACCCCATTACAGGGTCACATACAGGGGATCAGGGACAGATTCTGCACACAGTGAAATGGAGCTTAAATGGAGATATTGTAACTTAACTTCCCATTAGAATCTGGGCCAAAGACATCAAGGGATTTTTACCACAACTGAGTCACTTGAGAAATAATCCCTTCAGATTTAAAGTGAGCTTTTTCATTATCTTCATCAAGAAAATGAACACTGTACTGTACCCTGAAAAGAGCAGAGACCGTCTGGAAAGAGGAACCCTTCTTATGGCCTCCCTTCTTACCACCACCTTCTGCATGATGAAAGAGAAAGAAAATTCATTTTAATTGTTTTATGTTCCCTTCTGTGATTCTAGAAGAAGTATCTCTGTGTACATTGGATATTGTGGAGGAATGTGATTACCTGCATCTCCACCATATGTGGCAAAGAGCAAAGCCAGTGTTTTCATTGACGATTTCTGGTACAGCCCAATGACTGTTTCATTCAGTGGGTCCTTGTTCTTCTCCAACCAGCCGGTGATGTTGTAGTCCACAGTGCCAGCGTAGTGCACCAGGGCAAAGTGGGCCTCAGCCTTTCCTTTGGCAGGCTTGGGCTTCTGGAAGTTGTTGGACTTGCCAAGATGCTGGTCGTAGAGCTTGTTCTTGAAAGAAGTGTCAGTTGCCTTGGGGAACATGCACTCCTCCTCCAGGATGGAGAAAATACCCATTGGCTGAAAGGAACAGTAACGGATAAGAAGAGGGAGGGAGAGACTGATTACAAAACTTAGAACATAAGAACATAAGAGTGGACATAATGGGTCAGACCAAAGGTCCATCCAGCCCATCTGCCAACAGTGGCCAATTCCATGTGCCCCAGAGGGAGTGAACCGAACAGGTAATGATCAAGTGATCTCTCTCCTGCCATCCATCTCCACCCACTGACAAACAGAGGCTGGGGACACCATTCCTTACCTGTACTGGCTAATAGCCATTATGGACCTAACCTCCATGAAATTATCTAGCTTCTCTTTAAACTCTGTTATAGTCCTAGCCTTCACAACCTCCTCAGGCAAGGAGTTCCACAGATTGACTATGTGTTGTGTGAAGAAGAACTTTCTTTTATTTGTTTTAAACCTGCTGCCCATTAGTTTCATTTGGTGGCCCCTAGTTCTTATATCATGGGAACAAGTAAATAACTTTTCCTTATTCACTTTCTCCACACCACTCATGATTTTATAGACCTCTATCATATCCCCCCTTAGTCTCTGCTTTTCCAAGCTGAAAAGTCCCAGTCTCTTTAATCTCTCCTCATATGGGACCCGTTCCAAACTCCTAATCATTTTAGTTGCCCTTCTCTGAACCTTTTCTAATGCCAGTATATCTTTTTTGAGATGAGGATACCATATCTACACACAGTATTTCAGATGTGGGCATACCATGGATTTATATAAGGGCAATAACATATTCTCCGTATTATTCGCTCCCTCTTTTGTAATGATTACTAACATCCTGTTTGCTTTTTTGACTGTCGTTGCACACTGCGTGGACATCTTCAGAGAACTATCCACGATGACTCTAGCTAAATTAGCCCCCATCATATTATATATATAGTTGGGGTTATTTTTTCCAATGTGCATTGTAGGATAAACATTTCTTAGGTAGGCTATGATATTCTGTTAAGAACCTCTATTCTAAATTTGGAGTCTGGGACTGGCACACAAACATAGTACATGATGGTTGCCCCCCTACACCTAGCCCAGGATGGGAGACAGGATACGGCACATTCAATGGTGCTAGGAACAAATGCACAATTGACAAGTACTCCTAATGTCTCTGCTTTAATCCCCAGATGAACCACATCCATGCAGAGACACCTTCTTGAAGCTGACACACATATCCCCACTTAACACATAAATGATAATTGATGGCTGCTTTGTTTAAATATTTGTTTTATTAGATGTAAGGTATTATGTAAGCTATGGGCGGAAATACTATGTAACTTTATATTACTGCTCTTATTTTGCCTCACAATTAGCATCTATCCAGGGGGTCCAGGATCTTACCCTCCCCCCATCACTTTGATCTGCCCATTAAGCAGCCTATATAATTAATTGTAACCTATGGTCTGGCAGTGTTCACAAAGCCCTAACAAGCGATGTTACACTCCGACAGCGCGGAGGCCCTTTTGCCCACCCCTGGACTAATCAAAAGTCTGGTGTTCTCCCTTCAGGCAGGGTCTGTGCATGGAGCAATGCAGACAACAAAAAAACACTCCCGGGGACCAATACATGGCAGAGATGGGAACGGATTCCTTCCTGACCGCTACAGAGAATGGCCAACACCCTGAAGCATGAGATGTGACTCTCTCTAGCACGGCACCAGAAGGGACACAGGGATTTGCCGTATTGGATCCAGCCAGGACTGATCCTTGGGGAACACCACTAGATATCCCTCTCCATTCTGAAAATTGACCATTTATTCCTACCCTTTTGTTTCCTGTCTTTTAACCAGTTCTCAGTCCATGAAAGGAACTTCCCTCGTATCCCATGACAGCTTAATTTACATAAAAGCCTTTGGTGAGGGACCTTGCCAAAGGCTTTCTGGAAATCTAAGTACACTATATCTACTGGATCCCCCCCATCCACATGTTTGTTGACTCCTTCAAAGAACTTTAATAGACTAGTAAGACATGATTTCCCTTTACAGAAACCATGTTGACTTTTGCCCAACAAATTATGTTCTTCTATGTGTCTGACAATTTTAATCTTTACTATTGTTTCCACTAATTTGCCTGGGTACTAACATTAGACTTACTGGTCTGTAATTGCTGGGGTCGCCTCTCGAGCCCTTTTTTAATATTGGCATTACATTAGCTATCTTCCAGTCGTTGGGTACAGAAGCTGATTTAAAGGATAGGTTACAAACCATAGTTAATAGTTCTTCAATTTCTCATTTGAGTTCTTTCAGAACTCTTGGGTGAATGCCATCTGGTCCCGGTGACTTGTTATGGTTAAGTTTATCAATTAATTCCAAAACCTCCTCTAATGACACTTCAATCTGTGACAAGTTCTCAGATTTGTCACCTACAAAGGACAGGTCAGGTTTGGGAATCTCCCTAACATCCTCAGCTGTGAAGACTGAAGCAAAGAATTCATTTAATTTCTCTGCAATTACTTTATTGTCTTTAAGTGCTCCTTTTGTATCTCGATCATACAGGGGCCCCACTGGTTATTTAGCAGGCTTCCTGCTTCTGATGTACTTAAAAACATTTTGTTATTACCTTTTGAGTTTTTGGCTAGCTGTTCTTCAAACTCTTTTTTGGCTTTTCTTACTACATTTTTACACTTAATTTGACAGTGTTTATGCTCCTTTCTATTTACCTCACTACAATTTGACTTCCACTTTTTAAAAGATGTCTTTTTATCTCTCTCTGCTTCTTTTACATAATTGTTAAGCTATGCTGGCTCTTTTTTAGTTCTTCTACTATGTTTTTTAATTTGGGGTATACATTTAAGTTGGGTCTCTATTATTGTGTCTTTGAAAAGTGTCCATGCAGCTTGCAGGGATTTTACTTTAGTCACTGTACCTTTTAATTTCTGTGTAACTAACCTCCTCAGGGTTCCTTTTCAAACTGTGAGGATGTACTTACTAGGCTCCCACCAGGATCAGTCCTGGATCTGGTACTTCTCAATATTTGTATTAGTAACTTGGATAATGGACTAGAGAGTCTGCCAACGAAATATGTGAATGACAGCAAGCTAGGAAGGGATGCTATCACTTTGCAGGACGGTCTTAGAACTAAACATCACCTTGACAAATTGGGGAATTAGCTGATGTTGGCTGTGGTCTAGCCTTGCTAATTGTGGCTGGGAGAAGCCTCACCTATCACAAGCTCTCAACATCTTCATACAGCTGGGCTCCAACTGAAGCCCTTCTGGAAATTAAAGTTGCTTCCCTCCCCCCACGCCCAAATGAGCCATCGCACCATTCACCCCCTTTGGGCTGCATGTGTTCTCCTGGCAGGGCTGTGTGCGTTATCAGCAAGTGCCATAGGCATTATGCACTTTGCAGGATTCAGCTCACAGTACAAAGAGGAGGTGGATAGGAGGACAAGGTTTTGAGCACCATGGAGCCTGAGGAGGACACGGTACACTCACAACAGCCTATTCTTATTAGAATAGGTATGTTCAGGTGCTGCATGTTCTGATCATCTAGGTATCACTCATTGCACCTGGTCTGAAGGTGTTTCCCTTTGTCTGATCAATGCAACCGGTCCAGCTGCCGCTAGGAAGTCCATTCAGTTTGCCCCATGAAGCGTGCAATTAAGGCACTCGGGGAGTGGCTACTTGGGGAGCAGTAATTTCCTGCTGCTGCAGAGCCCAGGAGACATCCCCTCCATTTCTCTGGGCTTCTGGCAAGGAAGCTGCAGGCATTGGTTTGCATAGAGTCTTTAAGGAAAGATGGGCCTTCCTGATTTGTGGGGATTGAGAAAAGAGACCCTATGGGACTTGTCATTTTGTAAGCACATCACTAGCTATGTTAATTTCTTAAAGTAATATATAAGAGAAAGGTATTTCCAATAAAATATGCTATGTTAATGTCATTGACGTAGCTCATTCATCACACCTTTTACTATATTTTCCCCAGGCGACGCCGGGTATATCTGCTAGTCAATAATATAATGCAGTTGAAAAAAAGGTTAATATTCTGAAGCGTCATATATAAGACACAGGAGTGCGGTATGTAAATATGGGAGGTCTGGGCCACTCTATTCAGCACGGTGAGGCCTCAACTGGAGGCCCACTTCTAGGCACCACCCTTTAAGAAAAATGTGGACAAATTGGAAAGAGTCCAGAAGAGAGCAATAGTAACAATAAAAGGTACAGAAAATCCCACATGCTTAGCCTTGAAAAAAAGCAGATGGAGGGGCAAGCTGAAAACAATCTTCAAATATGTTAAGGGATGTTACAAAGAGTATGTGTCCACCTCCACTGAAGATAGGACATGAATAATGGGCTTCGTCTGCAGCAAGGGAGAGTCAAGTTAGATATTAGGGAAACCTTTCTAAAGATGAGGGTAGTGAGGCTGTGGAACAGGCTTCCAAGGGAGGCTGTAGAATCCCCCTCAGTGCAGAAAGCCATATTAGATGGCAACTCATGATCCCTTCCAGCCCTTCATTGCTATGACTGTATAACTAATGTCTCTATCCCAACATATATTAAATTATGGACCAAGGTATTTTAATAACTAGGGCTGAATGTGTGGACCTGAACAGGGAAGAGTACCTCTAAAGTTTAATATGACCCCCAACAACTAAAGAAATCTTGAACGAATCAGGCGTTTGAACTGAGGAGATACCTTCTCAATGAGCTCAATGCAGGCAGCCAGGTCCATCCCAAAGTCAATGAATGTCCATTCAATCCCTTCCTTCTTGTACTCCTCTTGCTCCAGCACGAACATGTGGTGGTTGAAAAACTGTTGCAGTTTCTCGTTGGTGAAGTTGATGCACAGCTGCTCCAGGCTGTTGTACTGCACAGAGGGAAAAACAAATGTGTGGGACACCAAGTGTGATGGCCCTTCTAACCCTACAGGCATCACCAGGTGAGGCCCTAGGAGCAAATCCCTCCATGGATTGGGGCATGAATACCAGAGAGCAAGAAGACCTCAAATCCATTGTTCCCAGGAGATTTCTTATTATTCTTTCAAGTCAATTGTGAGGTAAAAATCTATTATTTGCTCTACTGTCATGTCTCCTGGGACATCTTCAGGGTCTGCCCATACCAGAGTTTCTTTGCTTTAGGTCAAGGCTGTGGTCGTTTCCAAGCACTGGCCCAGATACACTCCCTGATGCCTCGGCATTTTGTTTGTTTGGCCTTGTCCCTGGCACTCACCCCTTGAACTCTCTGACCTGGCATTTAGGCACTATTGACTTCGCCCACTCAGGAATTCCCAGATCCTGGTCCAGGCCTGTTTGTGCCTTAGCTCTGGGCTTGCCTCTGTGTTCATTGCCTCATGCCTGCTCAGGAGCTTCTGAGCTCTCCCCTCATTGCACAATAGCTTCTTTATTAATAAGCTCGGTCTGTCGGAAAGTTAAAAGCCCGTAATATTGCAGTCACTGCTGATTTCTGCACATGCAACCTACGTCCAAAGCGAAGCCCATGGAGCATCATGGTCTACAGAAGCTGAGACAGAGGTCGGTTCTTCCCAAAAAACGGTAAGTGATGCAAAAGTTCTAAAATCTTTAGCAAAACATATTTCTCTGCATTTTCTCAACCCCTCAGGGTTCCTTCCTGCTGTCAAATTAAAAGGATCATGCTGCCTTAAGGGGAAAATCAATAGACACCTGTTTCCTGTAGAAAAGCCAGGGTTTTCCAGGAAATTATAGAAAAAAAATCATATTTAAAAAAACCTCAAAGTTCCTAGATTGCCTGCTTGACCCTTCCAAGAACTTGCTGTCAGATCCCTGCTCCTTACATCAAAGATCTCAAAGCCAGCAATGTCCAGCACTCCAATGAAGTACTGTCTGGGCTGCTTGGTATCCAGCTGCTGGTTGATACGAACGACCATCCACAGGAACATCTTCTCATAGACAGCCTTTGCCAGAGCACCCACCGAATTGTGCACCTAAACCAGTGGGAGAAGGACTGGAGTTACCATGCAAAGCAGAGAAAGAAGCTCTGGGGTGTTAATTCATATCAATCGTTCTTGATCACTAATTGTTACCTGCTGCACTGTTTGACCTTTGGTCACATATTCATTCCCAACCTTGACTCGGGGGCAGCACATGGCTTTGAGCAGGTCGGCTGAGTTCAGATTCATCAGATAAGCTGCTTTGTCAGCCACTAAATGGACACGGGATCAGGTATTGGTTGACAAATAGAACAAATAGAATGTGGTGTATGAGAGATCTCTCATTAGCAAATCAAACTTTTAACATTCCATTAATGTAATTTGACCATTGTACTCATAGAGTAGAGATTTACAGGCATAAAAATAATGAAATTCAAAATAAGCCTTCTTTGGAAGTCAGCTGTATTTAAGCACTCAGTGCCTTTGAAAATGTATCCCAAGCATCCACAAATAAAGGATGTTTTTAAGAGGCTTCTCAGACAGAACAGAAAACTAAGGCTTAACATTTTGACATAATTCATCTACAGCTTGATTATTGCTTGCTTTATTGAGAAAGTAAATTCTGTTAATACCTTCTGTGCCATCCGGCTCCGCCTGCTCCTCTCGCTGCTTCTGCTTGAACTTCATGTTTCCATAGTGCAGGACAGCCCCAGTCAGCTTGTAAATGGCTGTTTTTTCCTCAGCACTGAAGCCCAGGATATCAATGGCACTCTGCCAACAGAATCATTAACATAAAGCTCTTGTCTAGTAAAGTTAATACTCTACATAATCATTCTTAAGTGTTACTCACGTCTGTGGCCATCAGCTCTTCCTGGTCATCGATGCTGGCTACAGTGATCTCACCATGACTCACAAAAGGGAAGTCATATGGGTTGGTGGTAATCAGAAGCATCTCTGAAAACAAGCAGAGATACTGGCCACACAGTTTGGTCTTTGGTCACATCTACATTCACAGCCTTGCTCTCGGTAACACAGGGCTTTACGGGTAGGTCTACTCTGCACTCCATTGCACACCTAGGTCTCTGACCCCACTTACAAACTCCGTGTTTCCAAGTTTGAGCATATGCAATTTACACTTGATGGACTTAGTTCTCAGAACCACACTGATGTATCCATACTGCTCACAGACCCAGATGCTCTGCTGCTGGGGGCCCAGGCTTGAGCTGCATCCACACTGTGAAATGATGGAGCTTGGCCCAGAGTCGCAAGGGGACTTGAGGTTGGACCAATCCCTAAGGGCATATTGACCCATCTCAGATTTGGACATGAACTCTATGGGAGGGGATGGGCTCAAACCTGAGTCTGAGCCTGGGCTAACAATGCAGTGGAGATAGAACCATAACTGCCCATGTAAGCAAGCCCCTTAGTGAGTGTGACTCAGTGTCAGCTTCCACCAAAAGAATTAAACGTTTCTTACCAATTAGTTCTGGCTTCTTGTTGGACATGATCTGATAAAAGATGTGGTAGCTTCTCTCTGCCTTGAGCTGGAAAGTGACTCTGGATTTCTCCAGCAGATCTAGCCAGGCAGGTAAAATACAATTAGACACAAAAATACACGATGAGAAAGAAAGAGAGACAGAGAATCGTGACCCTTTGAGGAACATTTCTTACATGTTTCAATGTCAGCAGAAGCCAGTTTCCCTGTGGCACCAAAGTGGATTCTGATGAATTTACCCTTTAATAGAAAAAAACAGTCATTTAATTTAAAACTCTCTGAGGCAGACTAGGGATGAAATCCTTGCCCTGCTGAAGGCAATGAGAGTTTAGCCTTTTATTTCAGAGGGGCCACACCTACAGCCCAGATGTATATTATTAATATGCAATAATATTTTAGCCTATGTCACTATTTAATGTTTAGAAAATACCTATGCTTAAGTGACCAGTGTAGCCAGAACTGCACAGCTCACTTAAACTGAGCCCATGGGAAGAAGGAAGAACTGAGTTTACAAAAGTACCCAGGCAGCCAAGTCCCTGTTTTAGGCACTTGAGACCTGGTTTCATCAACACGATGATGCACGAACCCCTCAACAGAATCCTGTAGGTTCCTAAACTCTCTTGACACCTTTGTTTTTTTCAGTAAAAGTTCGCCATCCCCTGTGTTCCTGCCTCTGAGCACACACACTGCTGCCCCCCTGAATCTGCAGGTGCTACTCACATGTGGGGCCAGATCCAGTATACGTGCTCAGACACCCCTCCTGGATCAGTCCCCTCAGATGAGTTCACACAGAACAAACAGGGAGGAAGGACTTCCCTCACAAGCTTTCCCCCAGTGCTCAGGGGGCTTGAGGGGAGAGGGGCTTTGAACAAATACCTCCTTTCAGGGGAGTTAACCACTGGGTTCCAGACTCTTCTGATGTGTGGCTCCCTTACCTCTCCTTGTAACTGCTGTGGCCTTCTGGATAAAATGCGTCACTAGAGCAAAGGCTCTCCCATCTGGGACTCCCATTTCCTGACTATAACCACTAGGCTACAGAATCACATTCAGCCATTCTCTTTCCCGGCCTCACCGCCTGACAGAACACAAGCTTGAGAATGTCTCCACAGCTTGGGGATTAGTGCACTCGCCTACCGGAAGACCCAGGAACCCACTCCAATGACTCTAATTATTGATACAGTGAGACAGCTTCAATAGGAGAGACTGAAGAAGACCACGTAGAACCATAGAAACCCTCAGGAGTCATCGAGGCTCCAAGCAGGACCAAACCCAACTCAATCATCCCAGCCAGGGCTTTGTCAGCCGGGACTTAAAAAAAAGATGGAGATTCCACCACCTCTCTAGGCAACCCATTCCAGCGCTTCTCCACCCTCCTGGAGGAAAAGGAGCAATAGTCTCAAGTTGCAGTGGGTGAGGTCTAGGTTGGACATTAGGTTAACTC